TTAATATTATTTTTTATCAAAAAGAAAAGCTTGTTATATTCTTTGTGGAGCGACACAGCTGCGGCGGATTTCGCGGTGCGGAGCTCGTTGCGTGGGTTATTCACGAGGTCATGGACGATGAGCGCGAGTGAGTCTTGTGACTCCGAATCCCGTCGACCTTGCTGTCTTCTTCGCCGCATTGACTGACTTGATGTACGCAGCATGTTCTCTGCAGCAAAGCACTCTGTAGACGCATATACAGAATATACAGTGCCTCAAAAAAAAATAAAATAAAAGGTCTCAGTTCACTGGTGGGCTTTTAGACAATAAAGATTCAGTTCACTGTGATATTTCTCTGGCTGCGACTTTATTTTTTCTGGACGTGGCTGACCGTGAATACATGTACTGTACAAGTAGTAGCTCATATATATATGCGAGGATTTTTTGTGTAGCGGATAATTATACTTGGTATTTTGAGTTGCGTTGCAGGGAAAACCTATCTGTTTATATTTTCTGGAGAAAAAAGATGGTACGAATAAAAAAAAATTGTTATTTGGAATCTTCTCAACGATTCTGTTTAATAGAAAAAAATATACTCCGGCGAATATTTTTCGGGCCAAGCAGTAAGTTTATCAAATTAAAGCAGCAAGTTTATATTATGCATAAGAATGTACGCGAGAAAAATGCATTTGGTCCTCTGGGTATCAATGTACAGAGAAAGACCACCTGTATTCTTTTTTAAGAAGAAAAAACGCTACACTAGGGATTATTATCAAGATAAGATCTGCTGTACATTTCATCGCGTGATTACAGTATAGGACGGATACTTTAACGCATGTGCGGCTTTTCATGCAATAATAATCTAAGATCATTATAAGCGACAAAAAATGGCCCCTAATCGCTGCTGACAATTATTTTTAGATTATTATCGAATCCACTTGTCCTTTTGTCTGATTTTAAAAAAGTGGCGTTGTGTGAAAATCATGATACTGAGATGAGTCTGAACTTATAGCCTTGATTCCCTCGATTGAATGACCAGTTCGATCGTTATGAAGTACTCCACGCAGAAGATTTCAATATCGTAGTTCTTATTCTGGCATTCATCAGAATGTTTGCCTGACGATATCATTTTGACTTTTTCATTCATTGGATAACATGGTCCGTTGAATTTTATGCCTTTTCGTATCAGCCGCCGGAAGCGAACCCAGATGAGAAATTTATTCAGCCTGTAGCCCATGTTGACTGCGTAGAAAAGATTTGAATGGGAGTCGAAATCCGTATGCAAATAACCAACTGCATGATTTGGCTACGAACCCTGAAAAAAATAACCTTGGGTGCTTTCATGAACGTCTTTATTTTCAATCTAGACCTGATAATTTAAATTGTTTTTTACCTAGTGTAGAACAGGATGAATGCAAATGAAGCGGAGAAATGCCGATAATTCAGGAAATACAGACATCAATGGACAGTTTTGACGATGCATTGCCTGAATTATCGGTTAATAATTAGGCGCAAAACCATGAAAAATAATTCTGAGGAAGGCAGATACAAGCTGAACATACCAAAACAATTATTTTATTGAACTCACGATTCAAATTATTCGTTTGAATTTTCCTCAAGTATTCTTTTCGCTTCTCTCTTTATATTTTCTGAGTGATCTGAAGTGAAATGCCAAGATTGAACTTCACCTTCACAGCCATATTGTTTGTTCTCCGTCCTACATGATTTGAATGCAATGACTCCCTCGTGTGAAGATTCGCTTCTCTCTTTATATTTTCTGAGTGATCTGAAGTGAAATGCCAAGATTGAACTTCACCTTCACAGCCATATTGTTTGTTCTCCGTCCTACATGATTTGAATGCAATGACTCCCTCGTGTGAAGCAAATATTAAATTTTCCGGACAGGGAAACCAAACTGTAAAGATACCGGAAAGATAAGATTTCAGATCAGTTGCACAATCTGTAATTATAACTTTTGAAAATAATCTTAATATGTCTAAAATATTCTGCTGCATTCAAATAAATTCGGCTTTTTGTAAGACGATCATTCCAACCCAATTTTGCAGTTTTAATGGGAGTTCACGGGCTTTGATTCGAGTGCGTGGAAAAAAGTGAGGAGGAAATTTTCTAATTTTAATACTTTTCATTGGAATATTTGTTTGCTATCATTGTCTGGAAGTGACGATGCAAAAATTTTAATAGGGCTCCCAATGTCTCTTGGTCCTTGAACAATCTTTCAATCTGCTTTTTTTTTATGTGGCATTGTGTGAAAATTATGATACTGAGAGGCTGAACTTAGCCTTGATTCCCTTGAATGAATGATCAGTTCAATCGATATGAAATATTCCATGCAGAAGATTTCAAAATCTTAGCTCTTATTCTGTCATTCATCAGAATGTTTGCCCGACAGATTGATTTTGAATTTTTCACTCAAAGGATATTATTGTCCGGTTAATTTCATGTCCTTTCGTATCAGCCACTATATAAAAATGAATTATAAAGTCCATAGTTTCATTTCCTGCAAATGAAAAAAGCCTAAGTACGCAGAATTAGAATACTTTGCATTAATATTAGGCTTGACTTTGATTTCGTCTAAGCAGGTGAGCTATTTCAACTCACAGCCTGCTCGCAAAAATCTTCCGTGCTTCGACCTCCAGATTTTTCGCGACTCCGCAGAAGATTTCGCAATGATTCGCGGGTTCTCAAAATTCTTTCGATTCCGTGCCATTTCAGATTTATATTATTTCGTGCGAAAATTTGTGGAACATTGTGAAAAAAGTGAAAACATGCGCGAGTGAAGTGTTACCAACAGCGGAGAATCGCCTGGAGGCCATCGCGGAATTCAGTTCAAATCGCCGCAGGAGATTCCATGGGCTTCAGCTGTGTTCGCTTTCGCTTCGATCAGTTAAATTCAGTTCATTTTCCTCCCCCCGCTTTTGTTCCGGATTCTTTTCGGCCTTAAAGACTTGAAGTCACTCATCGCAGCTGAATGGGGAAAAAATAAACTAAAAATGTCCGTGGTTGACTCCTAACATCCCCGACGCGTCCCGAATTCCGGCGCTGGGATGTTGTGAAACCCTCTGGGCGACTCTCGGTTTTTTTTTTTTCGTTAATGCTTCTCGACGACCGCCTCGTTCTGAATCCATAATGCCGGGCACGAACTGCTGGGACTCCTTTTCCAGTGTTTCTTCCCCCAGTGTCCCGTGTTTCCGGTCGGAAATGCCGGATGCGTGCGTCTGTGTCACTCGCAGGAATCGACCTTGACGCAAAAGGCAACTTCCCACGTGTGTGATAACTGCCATCCGGTCTACGGGAACGCGACAGTGTTACCCTTTTGAGCAGTTCACTTCATAGAGGTGGGCTCTCTCATCTACAACACGAAATACAAGGGAACCGGACGAAAATTCGTTTGAGAGAAAGTGATGTTGCAGAGATGCCTCATAATGGGGGAAGAGAACCCTATAGGATCAATACAAATGTCGTTTCACAGACAAAACTGCTGTGGTAGACCAAATCATTTTAGAGAGTCCACCTCTGTGTACAGTTGAACCCCTACATCCAGACACTTTTAACCCTTCTGTGGCAATGGGCCCTTTCCCAGTGTGGGAGTAAGTTGGGATTTTCTTGGGTGGGCCCAGGTTTACATATTGTCAAAGGCCATGTAAGCCAGCAAGTCAGGTGGCCTAAAGCAAAGTTGGACTTCATTCAGCAAAAATTTACTGTTGAGATTTCCCAAAGTTGGACTTTTTCCACTATTCTTTTGTGGCCTCTGAATGGGAATGCTTCCAGCTCTAGCTCCCAAAATTAAAGGTCCAAGGAGCTGAAAATAATGAAACTAATCCAGGGATGAGATAAAAAAAAGCTCAGCCTTGGAGATGTTTTTTTTAATTTTTGGGCGAATGTTTCTGGGGGTTTTGAAAAATATTCCAGGATTTTTCCCAACTTTGCCCTGGATGCACCGTTTTCCTTTTTTTTCAAAAGCTTGTCGCCAAATTTTACAGAAAAAATCTGACTTTGCCGCCCAAGGGTTAAACCCCAGAAAGAAAGCTTTTGACATCCGTGCAGTTGCTCAAGTTAAAAAACAACAAATATTCCATTGAAGTGTGTGTATGTGGAAATGCTTCTTAATAAATAAATTAATTAAACTTGAATGCACGCTTGAGAAACCAATCGTGCCCACAACTTGGTCTCACTTGAAAAAAAAACATCACAGCGGTTAGCATCGCAAATACTGCATAGTGATTCACAATAGAGTTCAATTATCTCCGGATGACCGGATGTTCTTTCCAAATATAATTAAATAGAGTACTGCAGATCATAAAATCGTGAAAAAAGAAGTAAAAGATAATATTCAGCATATAATTATATAATTACTCTCCACGCTTTCCAGTGCGTTTTGTTGTCCAAAGGCACAAATGAAATTATCGTTCAGAGTTCAATTATCGCATGAATCTCAGGGTGCTCTGTAAAGGCTGATGTCATTTTTCAAAATTGTTTTTGATACTGTATTTGAATCAGGAATTTTAAGCATTTAGAACCACAAAGGAAGATTAGGTAAGGGGTGTCTTGCACTGAAATACTGTACTCTATTTTTAAAATAATAATTTTTTATTTAATTTCTTGTTCAGGAAAAAGTATAAACCGGATATATTTGTTGCGCATAGTGATTTGTTTGAGTAACTTTTTTCCACGAATGTACGTGAATTACTTTTCTGGTGTTTTCTCAAGGGCGTTTTATCTTTTACATGTCCTGATGTACGTTGAATATCGAGGGAGTGACTTACAACTTTTTTTCCTTGAAATCGCTAGGTTGGCAATAAAATCCTCCCGTCTGAAGCGCATTATTTTGCCTTTAAATCCTCTCCAGAATTTTTTTTTAGGAAACGGAATTATCCTCTTTCGATTGCTTCATCTTGATGCAAGAACTGTTCTTTGTGCGGCTGACTTTTACTTCATTTTTTAAAGCCTCAAGTTATTCAGAAATCATGCAGTTGGGAAATATGGTAGCTGAACACAAATCGTCTTTGTTGATTTCCCCCAAGGTTTGGCAATGTCGGGTATTTATGGGCGGCACGGGAACCTGCCCGTGGTGTCATCAGTGCATTACACGTCTGGCCCTCCTGCTAAGCTCAACACTTCTGTGAGTTTTTTTTTCCTTTCCTCTCCTCCATATCTTCCGAATCTATTTTTTAAATTTTATTCTCGTGCTGTCAATCCTTTTTCCCTGTCACTGACTTCAAATTTTTATTCCCTTTTCTTTTCAAGACGGATGACGGAGATGTGATCGAGATGAAGAAACAAGGTGAGACTCTGGTGCCGAGTTCTTGAAAATTGTTTGAATGAGTACAAGTAGAACCTCGATTTTTTCAAACTGATGACTCCGGATAACCATATAAATCAAAAATTTCTGTTACAATATTTTTTGATCACAATTGGCTGACGATTTATTGACAATTTCTGGAAGCAGTGTGATGAAATCCGAGAAAACCTCTGAAATCCCCCGCGAAACCAATCGCAATAACGTGACTACATAATTTTAGAACGTTTTTTAATTCATAAAGAAATTAACATCATTATGCCGAGTGGATCATGAGAAACTTATAGACTTGTGAACTATTTTTTAAGCCATGTGTTTTTTCTTCACCTACATTAATTATTCCAAGTCTAGCATTTCCTGACCTGAAAAAGACGCTAGAAAATCCGGAAAACATTCATCAGGAACAAAGTTTGGCAGATAGAAACTTTTGCAATTGTATTTTGTATTCATCTCATTATCCAGTGTGAGGGATATTTTTTGCTAATCAACAAAAATTGACCTTCGAGTTCCATAATCTTTCGATAAAATTTTATCGCTTCAGCTGTAGACTGGCGAGAAAATGCTTTGCGGTACTTGAAAAATTTTCGGAAACCCTCAAATAAAAAAATAAAAACAGAAATGTATGTCTAATTAGTAGTCAATGATTCAAGAATGCCTCGAGATAGATTCAGTAAAGTCTCGTATTAAAGCGAAGTTTTTGGGAGCTTGAAAAGTGTCGTTTTAGACAAAAAATTTTTCAAACTAAATTGCAATAACATTGTGGCTACGAAGAAAAGGGACAGAAAAAACAAATTCTTCGTATAACCATTAATTCGTCAAAACAAAATTCAATGTTACCATATCCTGCTGTTCTTCTAATAGCAAGATGAATGTAATGAACTTCACGGATAATTCACGCATGGATAATTCAGAGTTTTGATTGCGTTTGGATTTTTCATCCATTAGTATCGAATTTTTCCGCATTGTCTTCACGTCCATGAATAAAGCAGGGAATGCAGTGTTTTCTAAATCCTAGCGCAAATTATGCAAATTATTTCCCCGTTGGGATAATAATATTTGAAAGTCTACGCGGATGCGGAGGCCGAATCCGCGTCAAGAAAAGGCGTTTGAAGAAGCTGGCGGCCGACGCTGGTACAAAGCAGTTCTTTGTTCCGGTTATAATTGCTTCCACTTTTTTTCGCGTTTTCTCCTTCACAGAGGAATGGATCACTTCGAAGAAAGTTGAAGTGAAGAAAAACCGACAGATCGAAACCCGTGTCAAGAGGCAAGTGGTACTGGAAGACGGACGCGTGGTGGAAGATTCCGGTCCTCTCGTGTCCACCAACACCACGGAAGACGTGACTACGAGCGAGAAGGAAAACACAGAGGTGGGGGATACGAAGGAACCGTTTTAGTAATTATTCTCCACTTTGCACTGCAATCTATGAGAAATGTAATTTTAAGAAATAAAACTCAACATCATCCCGCCGCCTTGAAAGTTTCTTCTTCGTCCACACGTGCATAAAACAAAAGGTAATTTTTTTTTGCTTGCCCAGCTGCTGATGGGAACTTTCTTCTCAATTTTACTACAGTGAAAGTTCATGACTAATTCCTGGTTGATGCGCTGCGTTTGATTTTTATTCAAATTACCGTTCAAGGTTCATTTTTCATCTGCCAGAAAAAAAAGTTAGGCATCTTTGTCCGAGGAGTATACAGTATACATTGCTAACGAGAATGAAATGAATTTTCAAAGAGTTTCTCTTTTATTCGGATGAAGAAGCCCGAAGAAAAACTTCGATTTCAGGATTCTTTAAACTGCGGATGAAGATATCTTTGAAATTAATTTTGGAAATCTCAAGTACTAGTTAAGGACCTGCCTTTGAATACATTTTTAATAAGAGAAAACGAAATCGATCAGGGACTGTTATTCGAAATGTCACCCGGAAGTCGAAAACATGTGACTTAAACCAATCTTGCGAAAGATTAAAGTTTTAAAAAACCCACATCAACGATTTTTGCCATCAGCATGAGAATTTGAGGTGAAAATCCGGGGAGTACTGTGATGAAGGAATCAATTTCGTTCACTTCAAATTCTAATCCGTTCGTAGCTTCTTTACGAGACCTTCGACATAAAGAGTTTTAACGCTTACGAACTCTTGCGAAAGTTTTTTTTTACTCTGACTAATTATTTCTTAATGAGCTGCCTCGTCTGCATGAGATCATTTCCTTATTATCAAACGAAATAGCTCATCAACCCCAGGCTACAGAGAATTTAATAAGACAGTTCAAGGTGCACAATAAAAACGCAAATTGCATTCACCTGCGAATCCCATTTGATGATTTGCCATCCGATTCGGACGACGAAACGCGGTGAAAAAAATTTGTTCGAAGTAAGAATGACGCAGGCTCGGAGCAGAAAATGATCCACGGCTGACTTCGTTTTCAGCATGTGGCAAAAAAAAAAACTTTTAATTACTAATACGGATACTTATAAAATGTAGGTAATTAAAGCATTTTTGTTGTAATATTCAGAGCCCTTGTCATGCAGACTGCTTACATTAGTCCTTATCTTGTCAATTGTCCTCAGCACCGGAAACTCGGTGACGATTCGCCACCCGGTGACGGTTGGGTCGCGATTCCTGGCGCAGTGATAGTGTCAGAGAAGAAAGAACGAACAACGAACACCAAGGAAGAACGTCATGACGAGTTTGAGACCGAGCAGGTGGATCAACTAGGTGACATCAATCACAGGGTGAGTCCATTTTTTTTCTCATGCGAATATTTTCATTATTCATTAATGCATAAAAGCATGAATCGATTCACAAACTGCTTGAATCACGAAGATGCGAAAATTTCGGAAAGCTCAAGAGGGAATTCGAATGCAGTCGTATTATGTGATGGATCTCGTTATAAAAAATGATTGCTTACAACGATTTTGTTGTTGTTTTCAAGTCCCTGCCCAACAGCCACAATGCTACTCTGATATCGTTAAAACACATTTTTGTTGATAACGAAGCTTTTTAAGGCCGCGCCCATGTATTTTACTGTATTTTAGACCGAATTTCAAACGCCTGTATGCTTAATTTTATAGAAATGTGTCATTAAAATTTTTAACACGATTTTCTTGACCTTTTTTTTTAAATATTTTGATTGGAATGTTCATATTAAAAGCTACTTTTGGAGAAGTTTCCGAGATATGGCGATAATTTTATTCAAAATATTGCCAGGATCCACCCCGTGCTTTCATAATGTTCCTTCTTTTTCCACAATTTCGGTGAGCATATGATCAAGGCTCTCGAAAATTTATCATTTTTTGAGAGAAGTGAGACCCCAATGCGGACATAATTTGTTCATCAAGAGTGTCATGATGTCGGAATTTCCCTAAGTTGAGTCTCATTTTCCCTTATAGACTTCGATGCTAATGTGTTCGATTGGTTCTCCTTTTTTTTCAAAAATTAGAAATAAGCCCTCAAAAAATTTGAATGAAAAGTTTTTCCCACAAAGTTGTAGAAAACCGTAGTGCAGAACAAACCACATAGAATCTGATCAGTTGGTATCAAAAGAAGATCAAAAAGTAAAGGAAAAGAATTAGTCTTGCTAGAATATATGCACACATGATAAAAAAAAATCTCAAAAAAAGAAGCACAAAATCAGCTTGCATGCTTCTGATTATTAATTAGAGTAAGTTTATCCTGAAATATTTTTCAATTTTTGTGAATAGAAATAGCTCGAGTTCTTTAAAAGATATCAAAATTTTAAAAATGTTTCGATTTTTTGAAATTTTCAGAAACGCATCTCTAACTTGAGCCAATGTCCAGATGTTGGACCTGATTTTTTTGGTCTTCAAGTGTACCTAAGTCGAATTGTCCGTATGGGTTGTCTGCATATCGGAGTCTCAATGTTGCTCTTGCGCTGAACAATTAATACATATTTTTTTCTGTTCATCAATAGAAAATGCTGCAGTCGTTAGCCCTAAAACCCGACAGGAGGGTTTTTAATCGATAATTTTTCTCAACATAACCATTCAAACCTTAATCAAGGGGCAATTTTTCGCACGTAAAATGTATGTACAAATTTTAACCTTGCTCTGAAGTCGTTGTCAAACTTGATGGCTTGATCTTAAAGTGAATATTGGAACTCTGACGAACATAGTCTGCTCTAGAAAAAAAAGACGACAAAAAAACATAGCTGCGAACTTAGTTTGCAGCTTTGTTTTTGTTAGTTTTTTTTTTTTTTTTGCTCCTGCGCTCATTCAAGCTTCAGTTCGTGTCGCCCTTAATCATAAATATAAAAGTAACTTTCTGCTCGTGCACCTGTTGTAGAAAGCGGGACAATTTGACAAATCAGCATCATTCGTTGCTGTGATTTGTGTACCTTTCGAAACTCAGTTTGTCAGAGGAAAAAAATATATTTCGCTTAGACTTTTCCTTGTCTGGAGGTGTCACATATAGGTTTGACAAGTGTCTTGGGAACGTGTTTAGCTCCAAGGGAAAATATCCGGCGTACATGTACGCCACTTTTGGGGAAGGGAAGAAAGTGGAACATGGGAGCCGCCTCGTGTCGAGGATGAAATAAGTTTCTCTAGCTTTTTCGACTCATCGACTGCGGTGTGTGTGTGTGTGTGTGTGTGTGTGTAAATATATATTTTTGTCGAAACCGCTGACAAGAAACAAAAACATGGCAGGGAGAAAGAGAAAAGAAAAAGACGAACCCAGTGACTGGGTACAACCTGTAATTTGCGCATCGCAGTGGATGGCGGAGCTGGAATTTGTCGTTCATTGTGACGTGCGACGCATTCGGTCGTTGTAATGGTTTTTCCGGGAATTGATGTTAGTTCAAACGGGATTTCTCTGAGAAACTTCCACCCACAAATTTCTAGTTGACAAAATGACACTTTACTTGCTGGATTTTTCTTTCTGCCTGACGACACGGTTTTTTCGTTTCCAGAATTGCATGGGTTGATGGTTCATAAGTTTTGTCCCACCTGTTATTTTTCTTTTGTTTTGCGCTGAATGCTTGAAAGAGAATTCAATTTCCACTGACGATTATATTATAGTCTCCTGATCAAAGCATTAATAATATATTCGATAGGGTGAAATACAGAGAAAACATAATTGACTTTACAGGTGCTCCAAATAACTATGATGTCATCATGGGTTCAGCTTTCTTGTGCGTTGATAATTTGCTAGATGTTCAAGTTTAACCGATTTAGAAATTTGAATTAACATTTTCCCAGAGCTGGGTGAATATAGGAAGGCTTCCCTGAAAGGTGACTTTGAAAATTCAGAAATTGCCTTAGTCATTTAATTATTTGAAGAAATCCTCAGAAAATGAACATACATTTGTTCCAAGCCACCTTTTTAACAGGTTTTTGTGTGAAAAGTTGAGTTAAACTTTCACGGAAACTCAAAAATTTTCATTTGAATTTACCGAGATGCGGACCATTTTTTTCTACATTCGTGTGCCTGAAGCAACGTATTTTCCCAAAATTGAATACTTTCGTAGGTTTTAAAAATTGTGCGTCCGCATCTTTTGCTGCTTCGCACGGAATCGATAGACTCGCTCTAATTCACTTTTTTCTATTTGTTTTTTTGTTGCTGAAGAAATTGAGTTAAACTTCCATGAAAGCCCAAAAACCTAATTTTTTTTACCAACGAAACGTTTTGAACCATTCCTTATACTGTATATCTGTGTGCCTGAGGCCACGCCTTTCACAATACAATTTAAAAGCAACATCAGCCATTCATCAAGTCTTGAATAATTTTTGCAGGCTTTTAAAAATTGTGCGCCTTCATCCTTTGCTGCTTTTCACGGAATCCGTACTCCACGCAACCCTTGGCAGAAAATAAAAATTATCATAATTAATTTAATCTTGGATCAAAATACTGCGCGCTGATTTATTTTATGGCTGACGAATTGAAGGTCACGATCGTGGCTTTGCATTATTGAAAAATGTTCTCGCGTAAATAGAAACTCATTTCGTGAAGGTACAATTGAACTCCCGCTGCTAAAATGCATTTGTCGATTCCCGTCACTCGTGCGTAACGTACGGCACACAATAATGACCAGTAGTTGATGTTCAATTAAACACTGAAAAAAAGCAACATAAATGATTGGAAGAAGAAAATGAGACAGAGAAATGTTTCCAAGATGAGACAGGAGTCGGTTGATGGTTTCGGGAATTGCGGTTCATCCTTGAGGTATTCGTGCGTAAGCACGGTTTATTCCGGTCACGACGGAAAGCGAAAGGCAGCGTGGAAAGTGATTTTCTTTTCCTTCCGCCGCGGTTTTCCTTTTTCCCTTTGAACTTTTTTTCACTTTAGGAAGAGGAGAAAAAAAGAAATATAATCAGGGCTCTCACTAAGGGCAGATTGGGAGATTAGCGCCATTAGAAAAGTGTGATTGATGGATGCCTTTTAAGAGCTCGCCGTCATTAACATCATCGTATGAGAACCGTGGTGAAATGAGATTACAAAATTTTCTCGTTCCTTCCAACGCCTTCTAAATGGAAGCCTTCGTCTCGCAAATTTTCCAGTCGTGAATATTAAGAAAGTCATTGATTTTTCGCCCGGCATCATAAATTACTTCATTTTCTGGAAGGAATGGCTCAATTTCTAAAGTAAGTTTCGCACTACTGTATCACGAGCAAGCGGATTAAAAAAATATTTCAAGACTATCCACGGCGCCACGCAATTTTTTCTAAATATTTTACTCAATGTTTCAATACGAAAAAATACACCTCGAAGAAATTATGGAAATGAAAGTGATGCATGTTACTTCTCTACAAGCTTCAAACTCTCGAGACAAAGGCAAAACAATAGCACTTGCAGGCGAAAAGAACCAACATAAAATATCAGATATATTGGGACGTTTGAAAAGAATCACCTCAGGAATTCAAAGCAGGAATCAACAACCAATAAATATTACAAAAGCTTCGCATTTGCGTTTCAGATACTACAGCTTAAATCTTCCACCTGCAGCCCCCATTGTTCCTGAGTACTTGTCATCGTATATGCGAAAGGTTCAGAAAAAAATATTATTGTTTGCTGGAAACTTTGAAAAAACCTCGAAATGAAGCAAATGTGGACTCTCTCCACAACGATCTTTTACAACAATTTTCTCTGTACAACACATTTCATGTGATTCCTTTTTAGGGTTCTCTCCCCATGTTATGCATGGTTCTCTTCAATGAAATTCTGTTTACAACAATATTCTTCTGGTCCCTCGAATTTCATTGTATAGAGGGTCCACCTGTATCTTCAAGAAGGGTCCTTTTCAATTGCAAACAAAAATTGGAAGCCCTAACCATCAATTGACTGTTATTCTTAAGCCTTTTTCAAATTCATCATCATGAACACCAACAGTTTGAAGATCATAACTCCTGTACATTTTCACTTGTAGATGAAATTTGGGACAAGGTCACTATTATTTTAAATATTTGGAAGCCTTTAATCTGTCTTCTAATTCATAAAATATTCAAGAGCGGCAGGTGAACCTCTTTCTCTCAAAATGCTATGGGTGTTTCTTCCGACTCCAAACCTAGTTCAGCAAAAAATCGATGAATGTTTACTTGATTTTCAAGTAATATTTCTTGAGAACTGCGCATCTCTCATCCATCAAAAAAGGGAAAACTGAAAAAAAACAAGACTCACTAAAACTAAGGAACCAATAACCCTTGAATATGAGCAGGAAAGTGAAATCTGCGGCAGAGTTTTTTCGAAAGTACGGAAGCGTAGGTAGGCAATTTACGTTCTATACTCATTTTAAGAACCTCATTCAACCTTGACATATCCCATGAGTTTTTATTTTACGAGATTATAGGTCGCATTTTCCGTGACCTCAAATTGCTCTGAAAACCCCGGGTGCTGTCTGTTTAACCGAAATACAGTATTCGAAAATAGTTCGGACCTTCACTCAAAGGTGTAACCTATATTTTAGAATAGATCATGTGTTATTTGGGAAGAGAGGAAACCATGGGACATTCAGCCAAAAAAGACCTCATGCTATATGGAAATGACATGTCAGACATTTTCCCAGATGGGCCCTTGTGTGAGCTCAATTGCTCACAAAATAATAAGAAACACAGGCAATCAGACCTCTGCATGAGGCTAAGAACAATTATTCAAGGGGTCACCTTGCATATATGTTCGTAGTTTTGAAATAAATTTTATTCATTTTTTTCAGCGGGTTGAAAGAATATAAAGAATTTGATCAGAGAAGCACAATCAATTCACATAATAGATTCAAATCACAAGATCAGATCAAATACTTTAGGTGAAAATCAGAGATTTGTGCACAAACCAGTAAGAAAGCAAAAAAAAAGAAGATTTTCCATCAAGAGTTCAGAACTGACTGCTCGTACAGTAGATTCAAAGCATCAAGAAGTTTTATGAATTTCTTGGAATTTTCTGGTATCAGGTGATCTGACCAGAAAATTCCAGAATATTCTATAATCTAATTGGCCAAAAAATAAATATTGAGGAATTCATCACAGCATGGTCAGCTGATGTGCACAGAAACCTTCACTGGTTTCCTCTTCTCGTTTTTCTCTCCAACATTGTGAAATTCGACTTATATATACAGAGGTTCGATCGTAAAATGAAAACTGATGGAAAAATTCCAAGAAATTGTTTTAAAAATTGGAAGTGACTTCGGTTTTTTTTTTCTTCTCGTTTGTCTGTTGCAGGATTTGGTCAGAGCCATTAAAGAGAAGGGAGATCTGCGCCTGGCGTTGGCGAAGAAGCAGCGAACCTGGTCGGAGCCATCGGACGTATCCGATGGGTCCCGGCCTCGCGTCGTGCACCAGTCGTCCAAGCACAAGAAGGTCGTCGATTCTGAGGAAGTCGACGAGCATTCCGAGATCAAGGACGGCAAGATCACGACGGAGACCAAGAAAACGCTCTACAGGTCTGACTGCACTTCCTGGCACTACATTAAATTCCATCCTTTCCTATGTATATACTTTCCCCTTTATTCGGATTTGTACCCCAACTCTGATGAGCAGCAGCGGATACGGTATCCGTGGAATGAGGAGCAGCATTCGCAGAATTCCTCGCTCTGCGTGTCATCCATTCTTTCCTATGTATATACTTTCCCCTTTATTCGGATTTGTACCCCAACTCTGATGAGCAGCAGCGGATACGGTATCCGTGGAATGAGGAGCAGCATTCGCAGAATTCCTCGCTCTGCGTGTCAGGATAATTAGGGACTCTGGTTTTTAGTCTCGTATTTTTTTGCTTTGTTTCCTTGCTGTGACATCCTTTTTGAATGAAAAAGGTAGTGATGTTATCTTGAAGAAGCGGGTACTTGAAGGAGCTCACGCTATGCGAGTAGGAAACAAATGGCGCTCCTTTATTGTGGCATCTCCCCGTACTGTACTTTTCTGTATCACGGAATCTAATTTTCATTCCTTCCTACGATATTTTTTCAAGAAACAAGGACAAGTTTCTTCGAGGGAATTTTCAGCTGCGAAAGCAATTCTGCAGTCAAGAATGTATGCTTTTAAATCTAACGCTGTATCCAATTAAACCCTTCACTCCAAAATTTATTTTGCCATTCAAAAGTATCGAAAAATTTGTTTTTAGAAAACCATCTAAGGATTTGAAGTATACAATACCTATTCACACAAGTATAGTTCCTATGGAGAACAACGCATAAGAAAAGGCTATTAACAAGACCAGAATTTAAGGCCCACAAATCCGAATTATCTACTTCTCATCCATGAAGTACCGGTATCTTTTTTTAATATTTAGAGAGTCACGGTAAAACTTAAACTATGAAGAAACAAGACTGAAACACTCCGTCTTATTTTATCATCACAATAAAAGACGGTTTTATTCAGGCTTCCCATTTATCCCGTGCTCTCTTTCTTTCTTGTTCATTCATTAAGAGTCCTTTTAAAGTTGATAAAGCAGCTGTTGAGAATTTTAAAAAGGTCGACGCAAAGATAAAGGTGAAAGGACAATAAGTTACTTACTGACTGACAAATAAAAGGATTAGTTGGAAGTTGTACAGCGCTGAAGTTGTATCGAATAAAACACTATAAAGCATAGCATAAAAACTTTTCCAAAAAACTTTAAAGAGCTTCAAGTAAGCGAAAAAGCCCCAAGCCTTTTAAGGTTTTAATCGAAAAGAACCGTTTCAAAGGTAGTTAGTAGAGTCTCTATCAGTTCCTTCCATTCACTATTTTCGAACACTAGATTGGAGTTGGTTTTTTTTCTGAATTCCATTGGATAATTAATTAAAAGAAAGTGGGTTAAACGTTTTTTTTTATCCTTTCATGGGGTTAGGATTTTTTATTGATTTGTACGCGTCGTCTCTTGACGCGGTGTTCCGGTTAGCATACCGAGGATCCATCACGAAGTCTCAGCTATTCATTCCTACCGCAATCCGAGGATTCTTCCCCTCATTTATTTATTTGTTATTTTCTCCGTCGCTTTCTTTATTCTCGAGCGACGCAATGAATGCTCGCGAAGGCTGTCGGCGTCATTAAAACGAAAAACCGGAATACGAGAGTGATTGCTCCCACGTATCGCGTGGCAGGCTTGTTTAAGCGAAGGCTTAGCGATTAAATCGGCAGGTGTGAGATGAATATCAAAGCACAGTTTGTGCTTGTCCCGAGCCGTCATTAGAAACGGCGACCGACTCACGAATTTTCGTGTTACGTCGGGGCATTGAATACGAAACGCCTCTCATTGTCTTATGACTACATGCGAAGTCCCTTTATGTATCCTGTTAGCTAATTTTTTTGTTTAGTAATTATATACACGTGGAATCTCTCAACAATGATCTTGTCTGCAACGATTTTCTCTGCGCAAAACAATTTTTTGGGGGTTCCATATTTTATGAGGGTACTATACTCAACGAAAATTTCTCAACGACAAATTTTTTTTCTGGTACCGTGAATTTTGTTGTAGAGAGTTTTTACCTTTAATGTATTATAGTGAGGATACTTTTTGTGTTGACAGGAATGTGTCTTTTGGGGACCTATAAGCAAACCACAACGAATTTATTTCACAACTGAATACAGTATATGTGGCGTAGAACAAGTGTAAGAGTTGTTTTCGAACCTTGAGTATAATTCTTCGTTCACCCGATTTTGTCAATCAGAATTTTTTTTAAATCATCGTGGGATTTCTAAGAAAGTTTTCGTTTATTTGCTGCTGGGTGCTTTTTGGCAAATGCTGCTCTGACTTGGTCAACTTCTTGACCTGCAGTTGACATTTCAGGGCTACCTTCACACATTGCTGGCATATGTTTTATTGCAAATTTTCGCCAAATTAGCAGCACTGTCGCAGAAAATATTTATATTATTCTGCATATTCAATAGCATCGGAAGTACTCTAATTAGCAAAAAGAACTTGAAAGGAATGCATATGAACCTTACACAGTAGTAGTAATGCAAGGTAAACTGTCAACTTTTTTCTTCTCTATATCTTCACAATTTTGAAGTTGATCAGGAAACGGAAAATAATAACCTCATAATAAAAAACGTTCATTTTCATGTTCTCAGCTGTATGATTCTTTTTCGAAGTAATATCTTCAATACATTAATTTTCTTATTCTGTTGAACAACTTTTCCACTTTTTCGTGTTCGTTATATTTAATACTGCCTGAACCGCTGATTGGTTGCAAAATTGGCAGGATCCTCTGATAGTTCAAAACACCTTGCTTAAACATTATATTATTCTTTAAAATAAAAATAAAATTATCTTGCAAGAATTTCGTGCTCATAGCTACTGTATGGTGATTTCGTTCATTATCACGCTTCAATCTGGTCATTAATCAGAATTTTACGGAATCAAAATTGTTCTTGCACTTTCAAAATTTTATGAAGTTTATTTGAGGTGTAGTTGTGGTAAATATTTTCAAGCAAAAAGCTTGCTGGAAATTCCTCGTCACGGACGCGCTCTGACGCATAAATTTATTTGGAAACAAGTTTACCTATTTAAATTACAATCGATAAATGTTGCCGAGAGTTTTGATATTGATCATGAACAGGATGAAAAATGAATTTCATCACGAAAAATTTGAGTTCATGCGTGCTTCTATGGGACTTTCCTTTCAAGAAACCCCGGATTCTACTCCTGCTACCAAAATTCACTTTGAAATAAAACTGAACATTTATCGACTCACGAGTAACAATCAATAAATTTCAGGGAGGAATTCAACAACGAACAAGAACCCGACGACGAGGAATTCAGCGACCAAGAAGCAACGAAGGAAACCTCGCATAATTTCGTTCATACTAAGGATGAGAATTTGGTCGAGTACGTCGCTGTGCCCGAGGGCGGAACTTTGGCCCAAGGCAAGAAAATTGGCGAAGGAATGCATTACGTGTCGGAGAATATCGAAGAAGAAAGAGAAGGAGGCGAAGGACAAGAAGCTGACCAAGGAATACTCGTCCCGGGCCATTGGCGCAGTCCGAACAAACCCGCTGCTGCAAGGTCAAGTCTGCTCGCCAGATCCATGAATCTGGACCAAGAGGAGGAAACCAGGAAACTGGAAACCTCCAAATGGCTGGAGAACCATTTCGGCTCTGAAGATTCAGCCAGGTACAGCACTGCAATTCCCCATTTCCGATGCGGGGATCGAATAAATGTTGATTGCATCCATAAAACGGTCAGGTCCAGCGAAGAAGACAGATCAAGGCGAAGCTCGCGATTGGACGCGGGCACAGGCAGAAAGGGCTCCGGCATGATCACGGTCAAAATGACAGGTTCTCCCGTGGCCAGCGCGACACCTAGCCCAACTCCCGGAGTTAAACCTGAAGTTCGCAGGTCGAGTATATCACAGAGTCACCAGAGGACGCCTCCTGCTCCTCCGCCACCTCCACCTAAACCCTCCAAATCCAGCACATTATATCAGGTGATGGAAATATTTTTTTTACAAAATACTGCTATCGATTTGCGAACAAAAGTTTTGATTCAAATAATTATGAAAACAAACTTCTGTAGATTCCTGAATTTCCATATGTCATAAGATTTCGCATGAACATGGTATCACGTTGATTCCCATAATTCATATAAAAATTCATCATCCCGCATTCACATTATTGTCCACTCGTTTTTGCTGAATATACCCCTACGTTCGATAGTTTTACTCCAAAAATAAGTTTTTTTTTATCACAAATCAGACCCATACATTTTTAACTAATCCCAAATTAATAGTTCCTCCTCCTTCACCTCAAACGCGAATTCTTTACTACAGTATTGCTGTGCTGGATGAAAATATACTATACTATATACAATAAGGGCAATTATATGCATCAGTTGATATTTAACGTATTTTATAAGGACAATTTTGGAGGTAGGAAGTGCGGGGTTTCAGGCAAGAAAGGAGAATCAGAAGGAAAACCCAAAAAAAATCGAAGGAAATCAAAATCGTCATAGAAAATTGAGAGATATGCTGGAAAAAATTATTATTCTTTTGCAGGGCATGCAATCAGAAAATGTATTTAACATACAGTACTGTAATGCTGAGGGCTATTTTTGGGGGAAACATAACATCTTCAGGCCCTATTTCATTTAAAACAACCTATCCTTTGACTTGGTTGTGTGTCATAAAATTAAGTCGACATCTGTTCGCTGGCCAAGAAAATTGCGTAAGTCGTGGACAGATCGGAATCCCCCAAAAAAATATTGCAGGAAATGCTTCTAACAAATTTTACGGCCTTTTTTTTACAGGGCTTGAAGTCCGGCAGTGATGCGAGCAGAGTCTACAAGACCGAGGAAAGCGGTGATTTATACGCACTTCCGGATCGGCGTGCCAAAACCCCGAAGGCCACTTTCGTGCCCGACCCGGAAACTGGCTGGCGAAGAGCCTCGAACCCGATCGCAACCAGCTTTCGCCACGAGTACGATCAAATCGCTCGCCAAATGCGGGAAGAGGCAGAGAGGGACCCGGTGCCGAGCTACAAGCGACCCGAAGAACCCTATAAACCCGTGGAGCGTTCCCAGAGCATGGGTCCCAAATCTGTGGAGCATTTGTATGCAGAAGGGATCCGGAAACCCGCAGTAGCAGTAGTGAAGAAAACCACAGCTAGCATTGGGACGAGTCCTCCGAGGCGAGGACCCGTGGCCGACGTTTCGTACGCCACTGCGCCGCCACCCATGAAGCCAGAGAGGAAGAAGAAAAAGGCCAAAATGCAGGCAATTTCCAGGTGAGTTATTATTATTATTATTAATATTAATACTGTTCTTTTTATCCACTTGCATTTTTACTACAAAAAAATCAATCACAATTGTCTGTACTGTGAACATGGAATGATAATTGGTGCAAACTATAATGTATATATTTTTTGTGGGGCACAATTGACTTTTTGGATTGCCACCGATTCTTGCTTTGTATATTAATCCCTGACTTGGATAAATATAAGACATTACATATTTCATTGATCATAAAAAATACGAGTTGTTAATGAGAAATGTCACTCAAGGCATTCATGTAGAGGTGGATAAGAGCGTTTTACGATGCGGTTATTTTGTTATGTTTTCGATCTTTCATTTTCTAATGTCTGAGATATTATTTTATATACTTTTTTCACGATCAAACAGTTGAATATTCAAGATTTTAAAAGTCTTCGGATAGTTTTTGTCGGATATGCCTAGAGGCCACTGACTTGAATAAAAAAAAAAAGGCATATGAAAAGTCATTGTTCATGAGAAATCCTAGTTGCTGTCGGAAATATGACATTCGGCATTCATTTCGAGGTGGATGAAATCGATTCAAAATTCAGCTTTTGTTTTGTTTTAAGTTTTGTTTTTCAATTCCCGAGCTATTACTTTTCATAAAATATTTTATATTACAAACAGTTGAATATTCGAGATTTTCAAAGTCTTGGAATATTTTAAGACGAATACAATAGTCTCCTTTATATTTTTCAAAGTTGGCACTGATTGAAATCCTTTTCTGCAAGTGATTAATTTCGCCTCTGCCAAATGCCGCTTTGACGGAGATGCCTGAGGACACCACTGCAAATTTGAAAAAAGAAGTCAGCGCTTTTGTTTGATAACAGTAATCTATGCATATTTTTCGGCATGTTTAGATAATGTGCCGTTTTTCCACCCTTGGATATTCTTCGACTGTAATCAAATTGCATTATAAAATATCGTACATGCATATGTTCCAAGTGCGATTTGAGGTTTGGGTGCTTCTTGGGCGAATCTTGATCATGTCTGCACCCTTTCAGAGTGTCCCTGCAGAAAAAAAAATCTTACGCAGTTTTAATTGGAAAATTTTGCCACGTTAAATGTTTCGCATTTTTGCCGCAATCCCGCTGAAGTGGTAAGAATGCAATTGAAAACTACTCATGATTCAGACTTGGAATAAAGGAGAGGCTAACGACGAAATCACGTTTTCCAGCCATCCAAGGTTCGAAATTTCAGTTGTAGGTCGATATGAAAAACGATCTGATTCTTATCCGCTGTCACGAATGGAATGCCTTCTTGTCTCGTTTCTCTTTTTCTCGCGATGATGATCGTGGAAATAACTTTTTTCTGGGCGCGGCTTCGTATCAACTATATCCAAGCCTCTTCGTGCCCTGAATCAGCAGGTGAATTACCATTCACCCTTTTTCATTTTTTTTTATTTATTTGATCATAATACCGGGTGTTGCCCACGTGGGGACTGGACTTTATTCTCTCAGTTTCATGTAGGCATCGCCGTGAAGAAACGTACTCATTATTGTCTTCCTGGCGCGTATCTGTTGGCAAGTCGAACCCATCACGGCTTGCGAAGAGCAAATGGCGATGAGAAAAGAAGGCTAAGGGTTAGTGGCACACACACAGCGTGGCCAAGTCGTCCATTCGCCACATCCCACGTTTCAGGAAGAAAATAAAAA